CAGTTTCATTTGGCCGCTATTGTAGATAAGAACATTCATTAACACTTACAACAGAGACGTAAATGAGTTCGACCGACGGTCTAACCTAAGAATGAATTACAGTCAGAAACTTATCACGTTTTATCATCACCACAGAACAGTAAATGGACCTCACACATGTATGTGTGATACTGGTTATGTCATGAGTGACCACCCTCTTTTCCCCTGTTAATCACTTGCATGTCTTATGTTATACTCAAGTTCGCTAAAATACCCAGGCTTCACAACCACAGGTTTATGTGGATACTTAGTCTCCACACACTCACAGACAACGTCTTGCGGCACCTTGGTGCTGTAGCATCAGATTCAACAAATGTACAGCGGACGCCCTGTCACCTCACTGTACCAATCATCAATTAGACTTAATTATATTTCGGTGCCGAATCTATTTTCCTCAAAATGACCATACAATGTTTACATCTCCCAGTACATGTGTTTCGAGTAGGGCTGCCAAAACGTGTATGTGTACCCTATTGACAGCAATCAGTAGCGCTAATCAACAATGTCATGATGATATCACAACATTGACTCCCCTTATACCACGCCGCCAAATAACAGGTTACGTACACCGTATTGGTGACACCACTATATCAGTGACAGCAAGGACATCACTATATCAGTGACAGCAAGGACATCACTATATCAGTAACAGCAAGGAACCACTATATCAGTGACAGCAAGGACACCACTATATCAGTGACAGCAAGGACATCACTATATCAGTGACAGCAAGGACATCACTATATCAGTAACAGCAAGGAACCACTATATCAGTGACAGCAAGGAACCACTATATCAGTGACAGCAAGGACATCACTATATCAGTGACAGCAAGGACATCACTATATCAGTGACAGCAAGGACATCACTATATCAGCAAGGACATATAGTAACAGCAAGGAACCACAGTGACAGCAAGGAGGACATCACTATATCAGTAACAGCAAGGAACCACTATATCAGGTGACAGCAAGGACATCACTATATCAGTGACAGCAAGGACATCACTATATCAGTATCAGTGACAGCAAGGACATCACTATATCAGTAACAGCAAGGAACCACTATATCAGTGACAGCAAGGCTAAGGTCACCACTATATCAGTGACAGCAAGGACACCACTATATCAGTGACAGCAAGGATCACCACTATATCAGTGACAGCAAGGACATCACTATATCAGTGACAGCAAGGACATCACTATATCAGTGACAGCAAGGACATCACTATATCAGTGACAGCAAGGACACCACTATATCAGTGACAGCAAGGACACCACTATATCAGTGACAGCAAGGACATCACTATATCAGCAAGGACAGCAAGGAACCACTATATCAGTGACAGCAAGGACATCACTATATCAGTGACAGCAAGGACACCACTATATCAGTGACAGCAAGGACATCACTATATCAGTGACAGCAAGGACATCACTATATCAGTGACAGCAAGGACATCACTATATGACAGCAAGGACACCACTATATCAGTGACAGCAAGGACATCACTATATCAGTGACAGCAAGGACATCACTATATCAGTAACAGCAAAGGACACACCACTATATCATCAGTATACAGCAAGGAACCACTATATCAGTGACAGCAAGGACATCACTATATCAGTGACAGCAAGGACATCACTATATCAGTGACAGCAAGGACATCACTATATCAGTGACAGCAAGGACACCACTATATCAGTGACAGCAAGGAACCACTATATCAGTGACAGCAAGGACATCACTATATCAGTGACAGCAAGGACATCACTATATCAGTGACAGCAAGGACATCACTATATCAGTGACAGCAAGGACATCACTATATCAGTGACAGCAAGGACACCACTATATCAGTGACAGCAAGGACATCACTATATCAGTGACAGCAAGGACATCACTATATCAGTGACAGCAAGGACATCACTATATCAATAACAGCAAGGAACCACTATATCAGTAACAGCAAGGAACCACTATATCAGCGACAGCAAGGACACCACTATATCAGTGACAGCAAGGACACCACTATATCAGTGACAACAAGAAACCCACTACAGAAGTGACAGCAAGGACACCACTATATCAGTGACAGCAAGGAAACAACTACTTAAGCGACAGCGAGCAAATCAGGACATAAGCGACAGAAAGGGTATCACTACATCAGGAAGAAGTCTGGCAAATGTTAGAAGATTAACACACTTTCGTCCAGTGAACATATATTTGAACCAGGCAATAAAGCAAAGCGTTGGCTGGACGTGATGTGTGTGTGTCTGGACGTGATGTGTGTGTGTCTGGACGTGATGTGTGTGTGTCTGGACGTGATGTGTGTGTGTGTCTGAACGTGATGTGCGTGTATATATGGACGTGATGTGTGTGTGTCTGGACGTGATGTGTGTGGTGTCTGGGCGTGATGTGTGTGTGTCTGGACGTGATGTGTGTGTAGCTTGACGTGATGTGTGTGGTGTCTGGACGTGATGTGTGTGTGTCTGGACGTGATGTGCGTGTGTCTGGACGTGATGTACGATTTACGCCAGTGGAAATAACATGTTCTACAGCTGTGGTGACAAATGAACTGGAACTGTTGTATAGAACATACTAAATATGGTTTATATAGTTAACATGAAATGAAGGTTCTTGGAATGATAGTTCAAAGCAAAGTTCAGAGATGATTGGGGAAAGGATGTACTCTCATGCTTAATGAATGTTGTAAAATAGTGATGTAATATTGCTACCGCACATCATGGACTATGTCGTGAGACCAAGTCAGTATTCCATCCCATCAAAACAAAGTATACCCTAAAATTGTCTGGGAACACATATTTTTGGAATAGTATGTTACGTACTAAGTTGATTTCTGAATGCATTGGTACTTACAAAGTATACAGAATAGCAGAATGATATATACCATGATAGAGTCATCGCACCACAAACACTCTCGGGAAAATACGTAATTAAAATAAATATACTAGAGTGCTGTTGCCAGTCCCAGATCCTATGTACTTCTGGACAATAACCTTGCATGTGTTCAAGCTCCTGTTTTGTGATTTATGTCGCAGAGCAAGGTAAGTGGTTATGATGAAAGCACGATTTCTCAAATCTAAGACATATATTTAACGACACATTTCGTATTTTCTGTATCATTGTTTATACCTACACTGCTTATTCATATAAACAGGTTTCATTTTTATTTAGATATAACACAAGCACAGTAATGAAATGCTACACTGATCGCCATTTGCATGGTTGAAACCATTGCTATTAACAGGCTGGAATTACTGAATTAGGCGTTTATTTCATTCACTCATACAGCTTCTGTGTAGTTCCATTGACGTCACTTGAAGTTATCACTTCCAATGTCGAATATGAAACTGGTCATGTAGTTGATATACTGTTACATAAATTAACACCACACTTAAACGTTTTCATTCACCATAGTTACATAGTAATTTGGCCTTCTATCTGGGACGGTAGTATTTCTTGTTGGTGCTTGTGTAATGCATGACATAGCACGGCTGGTTACCGTTAGAGTCTTTTCTATTCTAACTTTTGGTTATGGGATTAACTATCCTAATTAAAGCACTTGCATTTGGTTACCTGTCGAAAATCTGGTTGCAGTCTTCAGGTGCTGTTTGGTTTGTCTGGTCCAGATTCGACTGTTTACTTGTTCCCTACATATATGTTGGATTTTACAGAGTTCGGCATAAAACAATATTGGTGAAAGATGTTTAAACTCATATTCTCATTCAAAGGATAATTTACAGTCACTGGACCAGGAATGTTTTTTGTTGTTGTTTTCTATTTTAAAAGAATTAACTGGACACTATCATATTGCAAAACGTGATATGTCTAGTGATTTAATAAACATCCGATCATACTTCACAATAGTTTGAAATTTGTAGCGTGACTTTCTATTTTTTTAAAGATTCAATAACACTTAAAGTGTCTCCATATACGGTTTGTGGTGTAGCTAGTTTAAAGTCAGATTCACCTGTAAAGTCATATCGTCCATATAATCAGAGCAGGTGATTGCAGTTACCAGTTATTAATTATGATGACTGTCAATTTTGCCTTGATTAGTTGCACCTTCAGTAGTAAGTTCAAACACAGAAACCTTTTGCTGAATCTGATTCCAAACTTATCCTGAAAGAGCATTCACCACAGTCACCAGTAAACAAATTTTGATCGTTGATATCTTTGATATTTACAATGTAAATATGTCAAAGGTAGCAGAGGAGGGATAGGGTTTGTTGAGTCTACATGATATGTGTAATGTAGAGCTACGAGATGTAACTGAGGATAACGTGTCTGAAACAATAGACAGACACATAGAAACGTTAAACCTTTTCCTTTTTGTACGTCATCGTTCTGGAACAATGATCTGTGTATGTCCACTTATATATAATATCACAACCTTCAAACAGAATGTGACACATATATTCAAACACCAGTAGGAGGTGAGGTTAGGTGAAATTGGGTTTAACGTCGTGCTTGAGAATATTTCGCTCATATGAAGACGAGCATGCGTGTGTATGTGTATGTGCGGCTGCTTGTACTAGCCCAGACTTAAGCTGGTTTTATAGTGCTAGCCCACTGAGATACCATGCCGCAGTGAAGCATGAATACCCCACTCAGACCCATTTAACTTACTCCGAGCCGACCAGTCCTTGTTGTACCCATTAATGCCGAGCGCCAGACAGGGACCAACAAGTACCATATTTTAACGTCTTTTGGTATGACGCGGTCGGGGATCGAACCCGCGACCTTCCGCTCTCCGGACGGAAAACACCAGTAGGAAGCATCAGTGTATCTATGTTTTTGGTTCCATATTCATGTCATCCGTCATTTCAAAATTACGCCTGCGAACATGCTAATCTAAAAATAGGAAAGTGAAGTTTTCGTGAATGTGTTTGAAATAATGGGACAGTGTAATCATAATGTGTCTTTTTTCTCAGCCTGTGAACGCTCTGCCAATGGTCTGCGCAAGTACCGCTGCCCAACTTTGGACCAGTATGGCAACATCCGATGTATTGATGACAACAGTCTTTGCAATCACGTGCCAGATTGCCCCGAGGGGGAGGACGAACAACCTAGTCTCTGTCTCTTCTACAAAGTTGTAAGTCTTCGTGAAGACCTTAGGGTCGGTCAGCTTATGATACGGCAAGGTTAAATGTTTCCCACCGGAAGCATCCTTGTTCCCCGCGACAGTATTGTAGTAGTGTTCAGGCAATCAATACTATTTCTGTCTATTATTTCCCTTCCATGTGCATGGATTCTCAAATCGTGGAGGGCGGTGGGGTATCCTACTGGTTAAAGCGTCCTCTCGTCAGGCCAAAGACCCGGGTTCGATTTCCCACATGGTTAGAATGTTCGAAGCCCATTTCTGGTGTTCCCCGCCGTGATATTGCTGGAATAATGCTAAAAGCGGCGTAAAACCATACCCACTCACTCAAAGCATGGGTTAAATGATCCCACTTAACCACGTCCAAGATTTTCTTGATAATGATTTCTGGTTTGCAAACACTATGGCGATGCAGTGGTAAGAGCAGTTCCTTGAACGGCATAACCTTGGCTTTTCTTTTCACATGCTGCTGACACGAAATTTTGTTCTAATCAGCGTTAGGTCGGATTATCGCGTCCCCAAAGCACCCACATATGTAAAGCAAACACATATCTGTGGAGATAATCTAATTACTTAGCAGTTAACTCACTTTATAGTTTCAAGGGAAGTGACAGTGACGGGACCCAGTGGTTAAAAGTAGCACAGATGTTGTTTACAGAGATGCGTACCTTTTCCGGGCATAGGGTCCAACGTTCGTGGGTTCGAATCTCAGATATGCCTCCTCAACACCATGCACCTATTTATGGGGTTCATCAAATATCCAAATTCAAATTGTATAGTGATTTTCTGATTGTCCAGTTTGGGACTGAAAGTGACTTCCCGTTTGGTGAGGTCAAGCGAATGGTATTCCAACTTTAAGTAGCAGTGGCACATTTTACTGACATTAATAATAAATATACACAAATACCTCGATGCCTCGGGTGTGGTAACACTATCTCAGTACACTTATCACAAGTGTAGCAGTGCCATCAGATTAACGTTCCTCCTCCAGGAAGATGACACACCGTAATAAAAAAATGATATGGTATAATGTTGCAATCATATTAACTCCCTCGCTCTGAAATTATATTTCTTCGATTACTTTGGTGTTTGTGCACTACGTTCCTCCATTCAGGTGAGTACTCGACAGTAATGACAGTTCTGCGACAGCATCGCACAGAGTGCATGAGTGAGTTTAGTTTTACGCCACACTCAGCAGTATTCCAGGCTAGCTATATGGCGGCGGTCTGTAAATAATCGGATCTGGTATCAACAGCATGAGCATCGATCTACGCAAGTGGGATACGATGACATATGTCAACCAACCCAGCGAGCCTGGCCACCCGATCCCGTTAGTCGCCTCTTACGGCAAGCATGGGTTACTGAAGATCCAATCTAACCCTGATCTTCACGGGTCCGCGCAAACAGAAGCCTGTAGGTGTTCCCTGCACTGAGACAGTTACCTGGACCATTGACGGCGTAGGGCTCTTTTGACTATCGTGAATTTAATGGCTTCGTATCATTATCTCAAGACGGTCGTATTCATTCACGAGTGATGGAGGAACGATTGTGTGTACACTGTTCAGGTCAAGGAGAGAACCATAACAATGTGTGTACGCATATGTGACAGGTATTGACACTGGCGCGTTTCCATGTTTCAGATTGACCGCGACCTGAAGGCATTGTTTGACTTCATCGTTGAAAGGTTTGAAACACATCTTCACCGTCGTCACTGAGTTCCAGAAATGAATGGAGCTGACCTCTCGCCCCGTCTGCCTTCACACAATGGCCCGCCCCGCTGGTGTTACAAACCTTTTGTGAATATGAGAACTTACACGAAGATCTTTCAATGCACACGTTATACCATTCAAATAAGTATTTTGTGAAGCATTTGTTTTAATGATTTTTAACTTCCTGTTTTTTATTTCGTTTTTATATTAAAATGATTAATTCAGATACTTATAAGTGTGAGACCTGCATCACGTCAGGATTAAGCTGGGATGCTGTAAAAGGCGGCGTTATACCTACTGTCTGACATGCTGTCTGGTATGTCTCATTGCATGGAAACACTCCCCGCTTACAAAAGCAACATCACCTTTTTTCCTCGTTTACACTATGGTCTTATACCTCGTCATGTCTCGAGCTTGTGATTATTCAACATATCTTTGATGATACTAATGTTAACGATTTTAGACAGTATACTCTATGTCTGTTATATCGACTGTCTGGCCCTGCTTAGTAATAAGTATACAGACAGCCACGGATATGTATATGTTCAGAGGAATATTCAAGCTGTTAAATTGGAAACCATTTGACTATAGTTGATTAGTTGATAATGCCCCTGTGCAGATTTTAATCACATAGCCATACTCAAATAGCTTGTGCAATTCCCCAAAACAATCAAATGTCTGAGACACGTATGCTGTTTACATGAAAACAAAGTAAACGTCGTGAAATATCTAAAACTTGGGTGCGTAACCCAACTCAAAACCCAGAATGGGAATACATTCCTGACGACACGCACTTAAAGGTTGCCATCAAGCGTTCAATCCAAGAGCTGCTTAATCCCAAAACGGTACTTAGATCTATGCATAAAGATTCAGTGTGACAAAAACGTTTCAACAATACTGTATTACAACTTTCCACTATCCCTTTATGTCGAGTAAATAAACAACTCCAGCCTTTGTTGCTTACATTTCGAACATTTTACATATGTTTTATCAAGATTTCAAATAGCGTCATTTGACTCCTGCTCAGAAGATGTTCGATAAAGGTTACAACATCCAAAGCCTCAGTAAAGATTTCAAACGTTTTGACAAAAATGCTGTCCGATGCAATTCCCTATTTTGACTTGTACCATGACTTGTTCCCGTGTTTTATCAGGTGAACAATTGACTAGCCTTTGCATGTGTTGATGACAGGTGCCACCGGTGGGGCAGGATACGCTCACCATTTTCGCGAACACCTGGTATCATCACTATTTGATAGTGATTCATAAACACATGCTGGTGATATAGTCGGAATTGTACTGTCGACTCTGCTTTTAGCAGATCTTTCTTTTGGATGTGGAAAGGCTTTTGTCGTTTCTATCTACATTCAAGCTTTATCATGACTAATATGTAGAATAAAAAAATGCAGCTGTAATCTTCCAGTCTTGGAAACGCTCCATGGCGTCCTTTAAGCCGCATTCCCCAACATGTCGGAGATTGTAATTCGATTACCCAAGAAGAAGCCAAATTTATCATTCGGCAGTGTACAGTTTCGAATGTATATAATGCTTCGCGAAAGGTAATGGAGTAACGGTACTTTCGTTGATGTTTAACTATTCAGCTGAAACATGATTTTATTATTTTGATTTTTAAACTATATTCTTTGTTCGCCAGTCTGTATTTGTTCATGTATAATACCGGAGACATTCTGAATAAATGTTAATATGACAATATTATCAAAAAGGTGTTCCTTTGTAATATCAAACATAATCGTTTACCTTTGGATGTTTTGTTCGTTTATTTGTATGTCGTATTCAAGTTAAACGTACAGCGGCCTATAAGCATCGAGACAACGGAAAATTGCTTGTTCGTTCCCCTCTGTTTTACCACTACACCTTGATATGTGCACTCGCTGTCATCCTGCCTGTCACTCGTCATTCAGAAGATAAACACGGCCTGGTTAGCCGAGTTAAATCAACACATTGTGTCTGAGCGCAGTACCTATGTTAAACGGAAGGATGGAACACAGCCGAACCAACTGCAAGCGATGGTTACCCCACCGCCTCCTCTAACCAGAAACCCCATTAGTACTTACGGATTTTCCAATAGCTACGAGATGCATATATTACATCATTAGAAAGGAAACCAGTACTTGCTAAATGGAGAATACTAGACAATTGCAATAACTGACTGATGAAAGATAAAGTCATCAGAAACATGTACCTCTAGGTTTTAATGCAAAAGTATTATTATTTATTATTTATCTCATCTTCGGCCATTATGCATATTTCGCCAGCACGTCCGTGAACTCACGTGACCTTTTACCCTTGTGACGTCATATCCGACTTCGGTCGGCCATGATGCCTGAGAGTGCACAGTCATCGAACAATGAAGTTAAGATACGTAGCGTTCACTGACATGAACGCTGTTCATGTTAATGAACGCTCTGTATCTTAGCTACGAACAATGGAAATAGGCAATACGGACGAGGTAAATAGTTTTGATGGCAGTTTCCGATCGACATAACCGTTACCGTAGACCGTTGATTTGGTACACAAATAATTAATGTTCATTTCATAATATTCCATTTATACCACGTCATTATATGTTACAACTTACTGCCAGTGGTATTTTTAACATTGATTAAATCAAGTCCGATTGTGGTGAAATATATATTATTAAAATCAATAAGACATTTCCCATGAGATTTAGAGCCCCAAATACTGCAGTCTGCCCGGGGGAAAAAGATCTATTAATACAACGGCAAATGATGAAGTACCTTCCAGCTAACAAATTCGCGTCACAACGTTATGCTTTCGTTGTTACAATGTTATTCTGTGCAGGCCCATTTACGTTGTGGCCTGACGTTGTGACCTGACGTTGTGGCCTGACGTTGTGACCTGACGTTGTGGCCTGACGTTGTGACCTGACGTTGTGGCCTGACGTTGTGACCTGACGTTGTGACCTGACGTTGTGGCCTGACGTTGTGGCCTGACGTTGTGGCGTTGTGGCCTGACGTTGTGGCCTGACGTTGTGACCTGACGTTGTGGCCTGACGTTGTGGTTGTGGCGTTGTGGCCTGACGTTGTGGCCTGACGTTGTGGCCTGACGTTGTGGCCTGACGTTGTGACCTGACGTTGTGGCCTGACGTTGTGGCCTGACGTTGTGACCTGACGTTGTGGCCTGACGTTGTGGCCTGACGTTGTGACCTGACGTTGTGACCTGACGTTGTGGCCTGACGTTGTGACCTGACGTTGTGACGCCTGACGTTGTGACCTGACGTTGTGGCCTGACGTTGTGACCTGACGTTGTGACCTGACGTTGTGGCCCTGACGTTGTGGCCTGACGTTGCGACCTGACGTTGTGGCCTGACGTTGTGGCCTGACGTTGTGGCCTGACGTTGTGGCCTGACGTTGTGACCTGACGTTGTGGCCTGACGTTGTGGCCTGACGTTGTGGCCTGACGTTGTGACCTGACGTTGTGGCCTGACGTTGTGACCTGACGTTGTGACCTGACGTTGTGACCTGACGTTGTGGCCTGACGTTGTGACCTGACGTTGTGGCCTGACGTTGTGACCTGACGTTGTGGCCTGACGTTATGATACGTCATTTGTACGTCGCCACAAGGTAAAGTTATTTGATGCTAACGTATTTTACGTTGTCTTAACGTTCTATTTAACGTTAATAGTTGAATAGTTTTCCCAGTAGTGAACAATACATAAGAAACAAAGCAGAATTTCACTTCAATGTTTTTTCTTCAATTTGCATGCAGTTTTAGTCGTGGTTTTTCTTTAGCTTTAGCCGAATAGTAAAGAAAGAATCTCAAAGTGAAAAGTTATACCGAAAACTCTATCGTGACAAGTTATAAGAAACGTTGTTATAACGTTGTGAGGAGCCCAAAGCATAACGTCCCCTCAAAGTGAATTTGCAACGTTGTTATTACGTTGTAACATAACGTTATAAACTGACGTAATGCTAACGTTGTGTCAATGTAGTGTCATGACGTTACAAATCTACAACCTCCCCACAACGTTGCGAAAACGCTGTATATTATCTAGACTGTTACAATCACTGTTATCCATTTTGTCGAATTACGCGCGACGGCATGAGACTCGTTATTTGTCAGTATTGTGTCCCGTGAACGTTGTTCTGTATTGTAATTGGCTAACCTGATGTCATTCTAAGGTTATGACCTAGCACGATAACTATTTCTATGACCTAAAACTAGGGAAGTATACATTGTCCTGACAGTATTTTAGTCGGGAGATAAATTAAATTGCGTCGATTGTGTTATCTCTGCTCGACCAGGCTGGGATCTTGTATGGAAACAAGATAATATATTAATGAGAACAAGCATCCTAAGTTTTTTCAACGAAATATTTCCTTGCAACAGTGTCATTTTTGTAGGAGCCAATTCTATTTTTCCCCGTCTGAAGCATAATTATTTTCTAAAACATTTTCTGGGACAATTAATTTGTTTGTATATAAAAAAAAGACTACCTCCAATCACCAGTTTACACAAAAAGGAACGGCATTCCCATTTCAAAATAATATTATAGGGGTGGGTACTGGTTGGAACTGTATCAGATTTTGCTAACAAATAAATAATTGCTGCTAAATAATATCGTCTATTTAAAAAAAACGTATGTTGACATCACGTGGTGCCTCCGTTTCGCTTGATTCTTCTTCATCTTCCCTGGAAGTTTCTCATGCAAGATGTAAAATTGGGTCGTACTGGTACGGTCTAACATCCATGTAAAACATGACATAGGGAACATCCATTACTCCCTCAGGTATGACGTCATGTCACGTGATACCCGCTTTTGATCATTAACTGTCGGAGATACGGTGTTTTAGGTGTTTATTGCGATTTTACAAACTTTTTGTTTTATTTTAATCATGGAAGGTGACTTTTAGAATGCTTCTACCCCTATGAAAAACAACAACTTTCGTGTTAGTATTCTCCTTTAAATAGGTTCCAGTACTGCAATAATGCTTGTGCAATAGACAAAGCCCAGTTTGAAATGGTACCCAACAACCTTTCCTTGTATAGCGGTAGGAACATTTCCCAATTCCGTGACGGGATTCGAACCGTATACCTTCTTACACGGGCTCACATGCTTTGTCTTTATAACCAGAGGTTATCCCTGTCACCATTTAGTCACTGGTTTAGAGAATAAAATGTGCTGGTGACCAGGCTCTTCCTTGACTGAATGGCATCTTACACCACTGCTTGTGGCACTGTAGCAAACTTTGGCTTGTCTGACCCAAACCTTTGATCTTGTACAGGTCGAAGTCATTAAGGTGGCGCATTAGTGTGTTCATTTTGACTTTTTCAAACACACACAACGATAGCAGCCTTTAGTCAACAATGACAACCCTAATAGTATGGCATACACAGAATAATAGTTCTACAGTCTATGCTTTGATCTTATGTTACGACTCTCCCAACTTCAAATGGATTCGTGAAACGGGCTTTTGATGATACAGGAAGACTGAATTTTAATTGATTGTGTCGTTGTACATGGGCAGTGTGAATTGGACACGGAAGTTTGTCTCAATTAAACTGACGCCTTTGCTATTAAAAAAAAAATTAATTATAACTGATCATGGGAATAAGCAAAATACTAAACTGCCGGGCAAAACAAGGAAATTGTACCCTTTAAAACTGAAGCTGACCAAAGATTAGCATCCTACACACAATAACAGTCCTTATGCTATAGTTACCTACATTTTAAACAAACCCTAAAACAACAGCCTTAACTCAGGAACAACAGCCTACATTCAACAAGAACAGCCTTCACTCACCAACAAAGGCAGCATGCACAAAAAGAAGCCTTCTCTCACCAACAACAGCCTTCGCTCAACAACATCAGCCTTCATTCAACAACAGCAGCCTACACTGAACAACATCGGCCTATATTCAACAACAGCAGCCTTCGCTCACCAACACCAGCCTCCACTCAACAACACCAGCCTTCGACCAACAACAGCAGCCTCCACTCAACAACAGCAGCCTCCACTCAACAACAGCAGCCTTCACTCAAGAACAACAGCCTTTGCTCACCAACAGCAGCCTTCGCTCAACAACAGCAGCCTTCACTCAACAACAGCAGTCTTCACTCAACAACAGCAGCCTTCACTCAACAACAACAGCCT